CTTCCATTCTAAATGAAAGCTTTGCTGGATAGATCAATCTTGGTTGTAGGTCTTTGGATTTCATGACTTGGAATACTTCTTTCCAGCCCCTTCTTACCTATAAGGTCTCTTTTGAGAAATTCATTGACAGTCTGATGGGAACTCCTTTGTAGGTGACTGTCCCCTTAGCTCTTGCTGCTTCTGGGATTCTCTCCTTCATTTTAATCTTGGCTAATGTAATGATGATGTGCCTTGGTGTGTTCCTTCTTGGGTCCAAGTTCTTTGGGACTCTCTGAGCTTCCTGGATTTCCTGGAAGTCTATTTCCTTTTCCAGATTGGGGAGGTTCTTCTTTATTATTTGTTCAAATAAGTTTTCCACTTGTGGCTGTTCCTCTTCCCTTTCTGGTACCACTATAATTTGGGTGTTGGAACGTTTAAAGATGTCCTGAAGGTTCCTAAGCCTTTCCTCCTTTTTTTGAATTCTTGTTTCTTCATCCTTTTCTGTTTGATCATTTTTTTCCTCCTTCTGGTCCACTCCTTTGATTTGAGTCCCAGTTTCCTTTCCATCACTATTGGTTTCCTGTGCATTTCCATTGATTTCAATTAGTTTAGCCTTCATATGTTCCTCTAATTTGTGACTAAAATCAACCAGTTCTGTGAGCATCCTGATCACCAGTGTTTTGAACTGTGCATCTGAAAGTTTGGCTATTTCTTCATCACTTAGATTTATTGGCTCTGGGGCTCTGAGTTGTTCTTGAGCCTTGTTTTGATCCGTTTGTGCCTGTTAGGTATGAGGAGCAGAGCCTCAGATGTTCACCAGGGTTGGGCTACCCAGGTCGCTGGGTTGTAATGCTGTACATGGGGGCGGGGTCAGAGAGGGACAATGGCGGTCCCTTCTGCCTCTTCCCACCACTGCCACTGGGGCCTGTGTGGTCTGTCTCACTGCTCGCTCCTTCACCGGTTTATCGGTTTGGCTGAAGGGTTTGTTGTTGTCAGACTTCCGTATAGTTCAATTTTCTGTGGTTTGGCTGCGTTTTTGTTGCTAAAACTTTGTTGTTTTTAAACTTGGTTGTGCAAGAAGACACAGGGTTTCCACCTATGCCTCCATCTTGGCGGAAGTCTCATCATCATGTTCTTTATTGATTTAAGAACCGGTTACACAGCTGTGTTTAATATGTAAAAAATTATGGTTTGTAGGTTTTTGTATGTATTCTATACACTAATAAAAATCTTAAAAGAATACAGAGAATCTATATCCACTTATATAAAACAACCTGATATATATTTTGTGGGAAAAAAGTATAAATCAAGCACTTTCATTTGTGTGAAAAAAGAGGAGGTAATATATCTGTATTTGCTTCTATATGCAAATACTTCTGAAAGGATACTCAAGAAAATGACCAGCCCTGGCTAGTGTGGCTTGGTTGGTTGGAACATCATCCCATTACCAAAGGGTTGAGGGTTCAATTCACACTCAGGGCACATGTCTAAGTTGCGGGTTGGGTTCCCTGGTCTGGGTGTATACCAGAGGCAACCAATTGATGCTTCTCTCTTGCATCAAAAACCAGCGAAAAAAATGTTCCCAGGTGAGGATAAAAAAAAGAAAATGACAACACTAGTCATCTGTAAGGAGAGCTTCCTACCTGTGTGGGCAAGATATTTTATTGCATATTGGGTTATACATTTTGGATTCCAAACCACGTGAATATATCACATATAATAAAATGAAAGCACTCAAAGTTTAATAAGAAAAATAAAAAAAATTCTGTGAGTCTGGGAAATACTCAGAAGTACTTGGAAAATAGGGGAAAAACACCAGAGAACTCGGAACTCAGTGGTGGGGAAGTGGGAGTCATGGAGAGCAATGCATATTCTAAAATTGGGGAGGTAGAATCCTCTTCTTATGTTCACAACTTTAGCCATAATTTTAAAATTCATCACAAGTTATTTATTTCTTTTAAAGTACTACATTTATTAGATTAAAAGAATAAGTACTGCTTATGATAAGTAAGGTAATTCAAAGACATAAAGAACTCCCTTTCACCCACACCCTCCTCTTTCAGCTCACTGAGGTATCCAGTGTGATCAGCCTAATATAAAATTTTCTGTTCCTTTCTGTATGTTCACCTGAATATATAATACATATGTGTGTGTGTGTGTGTGTGTGTGTGTGTGTATTCAGCAATATACTAACGGGATCATACCACTCTTTATCACTCTAAAAAGTGCATTTTCCACATCCCTCTGGGTCCATACAAATAGGTCTAACTCATTTTCATCATTGCATAATATTCCACAGTGTGGAAGCAATACAATTGACTCATGGATTCCATTTCCTATAGATAATCAGGTCGTTTCCAGTTTGCTTCTGTTTGTTTTCCACCACCAACAATACAATAAGCACATGTATTAGTTTCCCTTGGCTACTTTAACAAATTACTGCAAGCTGAGTTGCTTAAAAAAAAAGAAATTTATTCTCTCACAGTTCTGGAATCCAGAAGCCTGAAATTAAGATGTCCTTCCTTGTAGAGGGTCTGAGGGAGAAGCCCTTCTATGTTCCTCTCCTTGCTTCTGGCAGCTGCCAGCAATCCCTGGAATTCTTGGCCTATAGCTGAGTCACTCCCACCTCTACCTCATTCCTTCAATCTTCATCCCTGTGTCTCTGTACCTCAGATCTCCCTCTGCCTTTCTCTTAAAAGAACACTTGTGATTGGATATATGGCCCACCCTAAATCTAGGATGATGTCATATTAAGATTGTTAATTACATCTGTAAAGATACCATTCCCAAATAAGGCTGTATGTTCACAGGTGCCTGGCAGACATACCTTTGGAGGACCAGCATTAAACCCACTATGGTATCATTGTGTATATCCTTCCAAATGGCAATTTTTATAGTTTATTTCTCTTCATTTTAATTTTTGTTGATGAGAGACAGACAGACAGACAGACACATGGACTTGTTGTTCCACTTATTTATGCATCCATTGGTTGCTTCTTGTATGTGCCCTGACCAAGGATTATACCCGCAACCTTGGTGTATTAGGATGACAAGTTAGTGTATTTTTGGTCAATGACTAGGTATTTGTATTTTAAATTTTAATAGATATTTTCTGAGTTTGTGGCAATTTACATTCTCATCACCTATGTATCAGGGCTTGTTTCCACATGTATTATCGCTTTTGTTAGTGTTTGACAATCTAATGATCAAAAAAATTCCATGACTATTAGTAAAATAAACATTTTTTAATAGAAAGGTGACTTTTTAAAACAGATTTTTTAAAATTTATTTATCTTTGGAGAGGAAGGAAAGGAGAGAGGGAGAGAAATATCAGTGTATGGTTGCCTCTTGTGAGTCCCCTGCTGGGAACTGGCCTGCAACCCAGGCACGTGCCCTGACTGAGAATTGAACCGCGATCACATGGTTAACAGGTCCAAGCTCAATCCACCAGCCAGGGCAACATATTTTTAATTTAGATTTTTATCTTCCATTAATTGCCTGCTGGTATTTTGCCCATATTTCTAAAACATTGAGCTACTTGGTTAAAAAAATCCATTTATAGAATTGTTTTATGGTAAGATACAATGTGTTTGCCATATGTTTTGTTTAGTTCTATTCCGTCTATTGTTTTTTTTTTTCTTTTCTTTTTAAACTTATTGTGATGTCATGCAAAACTTTGAAAATATTTATGGAGACAAATGTTTTTATTTTTTCTTTAATGACTCTGGGCTTCCTGTCTTGCTTAAAGTTCCCCCTCATTACAGTGATATTACTTTTCTTTAAAAATTTTCCTCTAGCCCTGACTGGTGTGGCTCGTTGGGATGGATATCCTCCCACAAACGGAAGGGTCTCTGGTCCCATTCCGGTTGGGTACTACCTGGGTTGCTGTTCTGTCCAAGGGTTGGGGGCTTGTGGGAGAGGCAACTGATGGATATTTCTCTCTAGGACTGATGTTTCTCTGCCTCTCTTTTCCCCTCCCTTCCCCCTCTTTAAAAACAAGTAAATTTTTAAAGACATTTTCCCTCTGAAATTTTGATTTGTATATTTTACATCTTTAATTCTTCTGGGATTTTTGAATATGGCATGGTTCTATTTTTACTTTGATGATTATAGAGTCAATTAAACCTAGATCTTTTATCAAACAAATTATTTCTTGTTTGTCACCCACCTTTGCTTTATATTAGGTTCTATACTTCTAGATTCTATCCTGGACTACTCAACTATTTGCCTGAGCGATTATGGTAGTAAGTTACAACAACTTTACAAATGGTAGCTTTTCAGTAAGTTAAAATTTTGGTTTTCTGTAAGTGAAATTTGAGTGTGCCACCAAGAGGGCCATGAAATTTCCTGGTGGAGGTAAAAAATAACAGGAGATAAGGTACGAGAAAGGGCTGGGTAAACCATAGCGCTCTGCAGCAAATGTTAGCTGTTGTTATTCCAAAAATGAACATATAGAAAATGAATCTTGGAATTGGAAGGCTGTACTTTTTCCCTTATGACCGTTAACAGTGTAGGGAATGAAGGGCCAGTCGTGGGGCTGCTGATCTAGTGTTCCCATCCCCAGAATCAGAGTGACAGAGGGGAGGGTGTAAAAGCTACGTGCAGCCTGCGCTCAGCAACCGAGAAGTCTGTTCAAAGTTGCAGAACGGAATTAGGGAGAGGAACTGCGAACAGGCGGCCAGCAAGGAAGCCCAGGAACAGAGGGGTCTCTCGGGAGGGGGGCTGAGAAGGTTGGGGCAGGTGGTGGGTCTCTTCTGAAAGCAGCTCGCTGGGCATTTTCTATCCCCTGGTCCTCGGGCAGCAGCATACTGTTGCAGAACCACCACGCAGCAGCGGCGCTGCCGGATGGGCAGCGGGAGAAGACTGGGGAGCAGAGTCGCCACTCGGCCGGCCCCGCCCCGCCCGCCCGTAGGTCTGCAGCAGCCGCTGCGGGTAGAGGATTGGCCTGAGCCGCGCGCGGGGCGGGCTGACGGTTGCAAGGAGCCTGGCGCGGCTCGCGCGCGCGCGCGCAGGCGCGACCACAGAGGCGACGCGCGCGTACTCAGTCGGTCGGTGCGGCGGAGGCGGGATGGTGTAACGCTGCGCGAGGCAGGCGGGAGGTGACTGAGAGAGGCGGGATGGGGGCGCTGCAGCTGGGCGGTCGCGGTGGTCTGGGCTGCTGACCGCACACCCGGAGCTCGGAGCTCGGAGCGGCGGTGGCGGCGGCGGCGGAGCGCCAGGCAGGTGAGTGTGGCGGAGCGGGACCCGGATATGCGGCGCGGCTGAGGGGCGGCGCGGTCGCGGCAGCCTGCCGAGGTGCCCCCGAGCGGGCCGGCGGCGCGCTCTGGCTGGCCGCAGCTTGGGGTGCCAGCGACTTCGTTGCCCGCGCCGCACTTCCTCTCGGCTGGGCTGACTCCCACCCGCCGGCCCGCGGGTGCGCCTGGCTCGACTGCGGCCCTCCTGGTTTCTCCAAGGTGAGCAGCTCTCCCCGGCCTCGGGCGGCAGGAGGCGGCTGGGCGACCCGGGCCGCCCGCGAGGCTGGTCGCGTTCCTGAGGGGATCCTCTGTGGAGAGGTGTCCTTGCCCGCTGCGTCTACGCTGTCAGCCCCGGAGCTTCCCGACTCTCGGGTGCGGTTTTGCGCAGAGTGTCTGTTAGGGGCGGGGACCCTGGACTGTTGGGGTATGGTCGTGTTTTCAAATCCTAGCGCTGCCCCTGACCAGCCCTGGGGCCTTGGGCCAAGGTCCTGATTTGTTCATGGGAATAATAATACGTACTTCACAGGCTTGTTGTGAGGGTAGGATCGGAAGGTGTGCAAGACCGAACAGCAAGGGATCGGTCAATAAATGGTAGGCTGTTAGCAGCCCCGGTGCATGGTCTTGTCTGCTACTGCGAATTGCTGGCCGCGGTGGACCTTTGGGGGCACATTATTTACGAACTACTGTGGTGTTGCCATAACCTCCACTGGAATTGCTTGGTATTGGAGTGACAGTAGAAAGAGTCCTGTAGTCCCATCATCGAATCCTGTAGTCTCTTGCTTCAGTTGCCTTGGAATTTCTGTGTCATGGACTAAGTGAATCGTTGCTGAAATAAAACCCGGCGAATTTAGGCTTTGCTTAGTATGGAAGGTGGTGGGACACCAACTAGGAGTGCTTTGCTGTTTAAATAATCTTAAATGACACTTAAACTCTGTCACTTGTTACAGAGTGTAAACACACGAGGAATATGGAAACAGACTTCTTTTTCTGCATTGCTACATCCGGAGGGAGTGACAAGTGCTTTTGTAAACATTATTGTAGGCAGTGTTAGTGTCTGGTGAAGTCATCGTAATTAAATTAGATGAGTACTTATTTTGAAGCACTGAATGGATGTTTGGAAATATGATTCCTAATTAAATCATCTCCAACGAGTCAGAATTCTCAGCAGTTCATTAATCATGTGGGGATTTTTATGTTATGCTCTAAGATTTTTATGGTAAAAGCAGAACTGGTGAAGTCGTAATGTACCATAGGAGGTGTTCAGGATAAAGATCTCAACCTAGTTTCAGGAGGCAGGTGTGCAACTTAAGGTTTAAAACTAGAAATGCATTCACTGAAGCACAAATGACTAAAAACAAACAAAAAAACCCCCCACTTTATTTTACACCCCGTGGTTCACACTGTGATGAGGGTCTTTTCCTCTTCAGGTTGTTCTTTAGAAGTGGAGAAAATCGAGTTGGGTTTTGATTTATTGCCATTTTGCACCTCTTGCCCATATTTCCTGCTTTTCCTAGCTCATTCATAAAAGCTTGTGATAGAACTTGCTTTGTGAATATGAACAAAATAGGTAGAAAATAATTAAGAATGAACCTTATAATTTAAATTATATTCTTCCTTGTAGCCTAATAATGTTTTTCCTAAATTATGACCTTCACTGTTGTTTCACTTTAGACTTGTGAACCCCACAGTAGAAGCACTGTTAGCTACTGTGGAAAGGCTAGGGGTCGGAAATCGTATCTTGATTTTAGGCCTGGATATTAGTCCCAATTATCTGGAGCTTTGGGGATGTCAGTCAGTCTTTCTGGGTCCCTTTTTTAAAAAAAATTTTATGGAATTTGAGTGTGTGTGTCACCAGCAGGTTAGGAAGGTGGTGGTGGACTAGAGAGGTGTATAATATACATAATGGGGCAAAAGTAGGTTTACAGTTGTTTGTATGAAAACATACAAACAGAAAACAATACAATAATAATACAAGGGTAAATTTAAATTCTTGTTTCATGTACTCACAACTGTAAACCTACTTTTGCCCCACCTTGTATAAAAGATATGCCAAGATATACTTTTTTTTCTCTGCATTCTCTTTCTCTTTTGTTGACTTTTCCCTCTGTTCCTGAATTCAACATTCTAATAATGCCTCAGGGTTTTCAGGTCTGCCTCTCTCGATTTACTACCTGTACTCTTTCTGGATGATCCTATCATGCATGCCCCGTGGTTTAATTACTATCAACTGTACTGTTGACTCTCAGATTTTTGTCTTAGGTTCTGAACTTCAGATTTCTTCTGCTTGCCTACATGATATCTTTACTTATTTCGTCTGTAGGCACCTTAAGCTTAACATGTTCAAAGTAGAGCTTTTGATTTCCATTTCTCAACCCGTTCTTTTCCCTGCAGTCTCCATTTCATAAGAGCTCCCCTTTGCCCCTCTCCTTCACCCTGCTTAAGTGATAAGTCTGGTGTCAGTTCTTAATTCATTCTTTTGTGTCACTCTTCCTTCACACCCCGCAGATAAACAGCAAAATCTGTCAATTTTTACCTCTAAAATATATCCTGAATATTTTTACTTTAGTTTGTTTTTATTGCCACCATCCCAGTTCTTCCTAGAGAGTAGCTTCCTAACTGGTCTCTTTGCCTCTCATCTTGCTCTCCTACAGTTCATTTTCAGACAGCAATCAGAGTGATCTTCAGAGTGATCTTTGCTTACTTTCTTGCTCTAGTGGCTTCTTATTACAAGTAATCCAAACTCTTTACCTGCATTATTAGGTAATTATTGCGATTATTTTTTTGTTACTTGTTTATGATCTTTTTCCTCTGACATACTATAAGTTATCTGATGGCAGGGACCTTGTCTGTCTTCCTGTGCTATTCTCAGTAACTAGAAAAGTGATAGGAACATTTAACTAAGTTGAATGAAGGAATGTGTGAATTAAGTAAGTTATAAAATATTTTGATTCTAAGTATAACATGTACTAAACACACTTTACACTTTTTTGGTCCCAGATTTGGGCAAATGAGGAGGCAATCAGAGGGCCAAGAGTTACTGTTAGGCATCCTTATTCCTTCAGTCTTCATCCTGGGACTTCCTAAAGTAACATCCTGTACTTCCTAAAAAGGTTAAGCATTTAGATCTTAACTTCTGATAACAAAACAAATGTGTATTTGTTCATTGTGTACTGGATCATTAATATTTTTACAAATAAGGAACCAAACTTTCCAGCTTTGTATAGTTTTTTTGAGGCAATGAATTTTGGTCTTAACTGGAGGGGATCGGGATCGATTCTAGAATGTGGTAGTTTGATCTACAATAATATTGCATAAGAAATCCCAAAGGGTAGCAGTTGGAATTCTTAAAGAGTAGATGTTTATTATTTTAGTTACACTATTAAAAAAACAACACCTGAGACTTTTCTTCCCCACCTCTTGCACATGCATGCACATATGTATATATTCTCTGAACCATTTAAAAATTATTTATTTATTTATAGACAGAGGGGAAGAGAGGGGGAAAGAGAGGGAGAGAAACATTGATCAGTTGCCTCTCTCAGGCCTCAAAACAGGAACCTTCCCCCACCCAGGCCTGTGCTTTGACCAGAATCAGACTGGCGACCTTTCACTTTGAGGGATGACACCCAATCCATTGAGCCACACAGGTCAGGGCTCCTCTGAACCATTTGATTTGAAATTATAGCTTACCATATCTTGGGGATAAATTCCTATTATTTGGTTTCTATTAGCTGCTCATGTGACGGCTTCGTCATGTTGTAGAAAGAGGCAAATGAGTTAGGATTCTTTCCCTCTGCCTGAGTCTAGACCTGAAAACTATCTAGCAGTATGTGAACAAAGAAGGGTATGGAAAAATTAGAAGTATATAATTGTCAAAGTAGAAATATAGGAAAAATACGTGTTGGAGGAGGAAATCCTAGACTAGAAGAGTAATACTGAACATTTAGCAGAAAAGAAGGGAGATAACGGAAAATCCAGATTTTGAGGCTTGAGTGAGACAACTTCTTTCTTACTCCTCTTACTTCTCACCCCTAATTTTTTGTATTGTTGACATTATTACAGATGTCCCCCAATTTCCCCCTCCCTAAATTTGATATTTGGATATTTTCCCCTCTGTCCCCTCTCCATTCCATGATGTATATGGGCTATTTTTTCTGAGGAGTATCTATGAGCCTGTCGTCGTAGTCCAATGTCAGCTATAAAACATTGTGGGAGAGGAAACTATCCTTTTTTTGAAGAGGCCTTTTTATTGTATTTTCTCATAATTAAAGTCTGTCTTCATGGGTTTTTCTGCCATTGGTCCAGCTTTACCCTTTAAGAGTGGCTTCAAACTGATGCAGTTCCTTTTTAAGTTGTTTCCCAAATATTCTGTGGTAGCTTTTATTTTATTACCAGGTTAAATAATTTTGAGTCACAAGCCTTTAGTTAAGAGAGGAAAAATGAAAGGGGCCGGATGTTTGTTTGGGTATATACTGTATTATGTGTCAGCTGTTAGTTGCTCTGATAATGCAGATTGCGCATCTCTAATTTAGGCTTTTTTTCTGTATTAATAGACACAATTATTTTTAGATGACTAAAGATAATTTAATAAAAAGACATTTCTGAAAGCAGAGTAACTTGAATTTAAAAAACTTTACATATACAGTAAAGTTCACTTTTTTTTATGTACATTCCTATGAATTTTGACACACACATAGGTTCTTGTATCATCACAACTAACAGTATACAGAACACTTCCAGTACCCTAAAGAATTCTTCCATGTTACCCCTTTGTAGTCACCTCCCCCCAATTCTTAACACTTGGCCTTAGTTGTTTATTTTAAAGAGAAAATGTATAGATTTTTCTCATGTGTAGATTATGTCAGAACAAGAATGAGTGGATAATTGATCAACCTAATTGTTTTTCTTTTAAAAATATAAGAGAATTCCAATCTTCAACATAAAGGGTTTACATGCAATAAAGTATTTAACCTTATAGATGGAGGAATG